CTGTCAGATAAAGGGTTTTTGAGGATTCTTCCCCAATCTGTAGGCAGTCTTTTTGTTTTGATGACAGTATCTTTGCTTTACAGAAGCTTTTCAGTTTCATGAGGTCCCATTTATTGATTGTTGCTCTGTGCTGTTAGTGTTCTGTTCAGGAAGTTGTATCCTGTGACAATGAGTTCTAGGCTCTTCCCTACTTTTTCTTCTAACCAATTTAGAGTCTCTGGTTTAATGTTGAGGTCTTTGATCCACTTAGACTTCAGTTTTGTGAAGGGTGATAAATATGGGTGTATTTTCATTTTTCTGCATGTAGACATCCAGTTGGACCAGCACCATTAGTTGAAGGTGCTGTCTTTTTTTCATTGAATGGTTTTGGCTTCTTTGTCAAAAATCAAGTATTTGTAGGTGTTTGGGTTTATTTCTGGGTCTTCTATTCGGTTCCATTGATCCTCCTTTCTGTTTCTATGCCAATACCATGCAGTTTTTATTACTGTTGCTGTGTAGTACAGCTTGAGATCAGGGATGGAGATACCTCCAGATTATCTGTTGTTGTACAGGATCGTTTTGGAGATTCTGGGTGTTTTGTTTCTCCATATGAAGCTGATAATCCTTCTTTCAAGTTCTGTAAAGTATTGAGTTGGTATTTTGATGGGAATTGTGTTGAATCTTTAGATTGCTTTTGGCAGGATGGCCATTTTCACTATGTTAATCCTACCAATGCATGAGCACCAGAGATCGTTCCAACTTCTCATATCTTCTTCAATTTCTTCCTTCAGAGACGTAAAGTTTTTTTCAAACAGGTTTTTCACTTCCTTGGTTTTTGATTGTTGCTCTTAGAGCCTGTGCTGTTGGTGTTCTGTTCAGGAAGTTGTCTCCTGTACCAATGAGTTCTAGTGTATTCCCCACTTTTTTTTCTAGCCGATTTAATGTGTCTGGTTTTATGTTGAGGTCTTTGATTCACTTGGACTTCAGTTTTGTGCAGGGTGATAAGTATGGATCTATTTTCATTTTTCTACATGTAGACATCCAGTTGGACCAGCACCATTTGTTGAAGATGCTATCTTTTTTCCTGTATGGTTTTGGCATCTTTGTGAAAAATCAGGTGTCTGTAAGTGTGTGGGTTTATTTCTGGGTTTTCTGTTCGATTCCATTGATCCACCATTCTGTTTCTATGCCAGTACCATGCAGTTTTTATAACTGTTGCTCTATAGTACAGCTTGAGATCAGGGATGGAGATACCTCCAGAAGATATTTTATTGTAGAGGATTGTTTTAGCAATTCTCGGTTTCTTGTTATTCCATACGAAGTTGAGAATTTTTCTTTCCAGGTCTCTAAAGAATTGTGTTGGCAATTTGATGGGAATTGCATTGAATCTGTAGATTTCTTTTGGTAAGATGGCCATTTTTACTATGTTAATCCTGCTAAGCCATGAGCATGGGAGATCTTTCCATCTTCTCATATCTTCCTCTAATTCTTTCTTCAGAGACTTGAAATTTTTTTCATACAAGTCTTTGACTTCCTTGGTTAGGGTTACACCAAGGTACTTTATGTCATTTGTGGCTATTGTGAATGGTGTTGTTTCTCTAATTTCTTTCTCAGCCCTTTTGTCTTTTGTATACGGTAGGGCTACTGATTTTTTTTTTTTTTTTTTAGTTAATTTTGTATCCGGCTACTTTGCTGAACGTGTTTATCAGCTGTAGGAGTTCCCTGGTAGAGTTTTTGGGGTCACTCATATATACTATCATATCATCTGAAAATAGTGATAATTTGACTTTTTCCTTTCCCATCTGTATCCCCTTGATCTCCTTCAACTGTCTTATTGCTCTAGCAAGGACTTCCAGCACTATGTTGAAGAGATATGGAGAGAGTGGGCAGCCTTGTCTTGTCCCTGATTTCAGTGGGATTGCTTTAAGTTTCTCTCCGTTCAGTTTGATGTTGGCTATAGGCTTGCTGTATATCGCCTTTACTATGTTTAGATATGTGCCTTGTATCCCTGATCTCTCCAGTACTTTAAACATGAATGGATGTTGGATTTTGTCAAAAGCTTTTTCAGCATCTAGGGAGATTATCATGTGTTTTTTTTCTTTGAGTTTGTTAATATGGTAGATCACATTGATGGATTTCCGTATATTGAACCACCCCTGCATACCTGGGATGAAGCCTACTTGGTCATAGTGGATAATATCTTTGATGTGTTCTTGTATTCGGTTTGCAAGTATTTTGTTAAGTATTTTTGCATCAAAGTTCATAAGGGAGATTGGCCTGAAATTCTCTTTCTTTGTTGAGTCTTTGTGAGGTTTAGGGACCAAGGTGACTGTGGCTTCATAGAATGAGTTTGGTAATATTCCTTCTGTTTCTATTTTGTGGAGTAGTTTGAAGAGAATTGGAGTTAGCTCTTCTTTGAAGGTCTGGTAGAATTCTGTGCTGAAGCCATCTGGTCCTTGGCTTTTGGTTTTTAATTTTTATTCCTTGACTTTTTTGGGGGTGGTGTGGGAGACCTAATTGTGGTGTCTTGTTTAGCTTCCATCAGTTTGCTACTTTCTATAAGTCCTATGCTGCTGATGTGATATCTGCTTTTCTATATTTATTAAGACTTGCTTTGTTTCCTAGCATACAGTTGGTTCGGAGACTGTTCCATGAGCTACTAAGAGTGTATATTATTTATTGTTTGAGTGGACCATTTGATCTATGTCATTTAACTCCAGAATTTCTTTTTTTTTTTTTTTTTTTCTGGATTACCTGTCTGTTGGGGAGGTATTGAAGTCATTAACAGTCACTGAATTGGGGTCAAAATGTGATTTTTAGATCTAATGTTTCCTTTATACAATTTGATGCCCTGTTTTATGGTACATATAGTTTAGAATTTAATCTGTTCATGGGTTTTTCCCTTACTAAGAATGACCAAGCTGTTCCACCTTCTCTCTTCTAACTAGTTTTTGTTTTAAGTTTGTTTTCTTGGATATTGTTTCTTAATTCCATTTGTTTGGAATACCCTTTTCCAAAACCTAAAGTGTCATTTGTCATTGGTGGTAAGATGTGTTTCTGGAGAAAGCAAAAAGTATGGATACTGTTTTCTAATTCAGTTTCTAGTCTGTGGTTTTATTGAGAATTGAGAGAGTTAATATTCAGCTATTATTGAATGATGTATGTCTTTTTGTTATGTTGTTGGTGTTGTGTTTTCTTGGATCTCTTTTGATTATCTTTCTTGCTGTTTGTTGGTTTTCTGTGAATTCTTATTTATGTTTCCCCTTCTTTTCAAAAGTTTTTTATTATCTTTCCTAGAGCTTGTAGTCAAAATTTGCTTTAATATTTTTTAAGGTTTATTTATTTATTTATTCATCTATTTGTTTACTTATTTATTTATTTTATGTGTGTGAGTACTCTATTTGGATATACACCTGCATGCCAGAAGAGGACATTAGATCCCAGTATACATGTTTTTGAGCCGCCATGTGGTTGCTGGGAATTTAACTCAGGACTTCTGGAAGAGCAGACAGTCCTCTTCACCTCTGTGCCATCTCTCCAGCCCCACTTTAATCTGTTTTTAACATGAAAAGTTTTTATTTTTCTTCCAGTCTCCAAGTAGAACAATGAACATCTGGGCTTTTCATACTTAGTCCTAACTTGACAATAAAATGACCATTCCTTTTTAAGGCAGAATTTTTATTAATAGTAAAAGAAATATATAATGTGTTTCCAGTTAAAACCAGATATGTCCCTGTCTTTCATTTAAACCACATGATATTTTCAGGCAGCTTTTATAGCTTGATTTGTCTAATGTGCATTTCTGTCATCTGGAGTGATAAACTCTCTGAGTATATTTACTATTTGACACATATATCCTCTTGGCAGAAGTTAACTTTCAGAATGAAACTTCCCCAGCAGTTTGTTTACAGTTGTCTTAGTGGAGAGGGACATGAAACAAAACACCAGAAGACAGAAAGTTTTCTATAATGTTTGTGGGGCCTCAAAAATCTCTTGTAGATAGATACCTGAATAGACCTCACTTAAAGGGATACCAGCAGGAGCATTCATGTTTGAGAACTAACACAGGTCTTTTAGGGCAACTGAGACATAGCATGTCTCATCTGCTCCACTGGCCATGTCCCTTCCATCCCTTGCATTTTCTCTTGTGCCTGAATCAATTTTCTCAATTCTTGAGTTTGAGGTGTCTTACTCCCAGTATTTTCAGAGCGTACCTGACATTCACCTCTATTTATAACAAAGGAGCTCCTTGGAAGAGGCTGCCATTTCATATGGTCACAGCATGTGTTAAGGGAGGTAGACATGTAGTCCTACTGCCAGCTCAGTATGTATTGACATTTGATAGCTGCTGTAATGGGAGAAATGGTTTTCTTTAATGGCATGACCCCTGATAGATCAACCATACTTTAAGGCAACCTCGACACCCAACACAATTAGGCAACACAATTTTGACTTCATGGGTGATAAAAGAGAGAGAGAGAGATCTATATTGAATGAACAGGAAGGTGGAGATGGATCCAGAAAGATGGGGGTGAATATGATTTAAAAAGTTACAATGTATGAAATTCTCAAAGAATACATAAAAATATTATGTAAAAAAATCAGACTACTTTAAAGACTGCATTGTATCTATGCTAAAGCACTTTGTTAATTGTAAGCTTCTACAGGAAATATTAGGTGTTATGAATCACTAGAGCTTCTGCCTGGATAATTCTTTGTCAAAAAGCTATTGTAAGTGCTGATGTTTTTCTTTGTTGTTGTTGTTGTTGATGGTGGTGTTTTGGTTTGTCTGTTTGTTTCCCTGCTTGTCTTATGGGTTTACTTAGCAACTTTACAATGTAGGTTAAATCTTTAAGTGCTCCTTTGTCTCATATCTTTTTCCTGAGTACCCAAGCAAGATAATAATCCATAAAACACAAGGGCAGCTACTCCTTCTAATTGCCAAGAGTTCGTCATTTACTAAGTTCCAAATGCAATCAGTTAGGCACCTGCTTTAAAACACTTTTCTACTAATTCCACAGAGCCGAAACTGTGTGAAGCTGGGCCCTCCTGCTGAGGGAGAAGTCATCCAAGTCAAGTGGCCTGATGGTAAACTTTATGGGGCAAAGTATCTTGGATCAAATATTGCCTACATGTATCAGGTGGGTGCTGCTCTCTCTATGATGCTTGGTGAGATGGACATGAGTAATAGAGGGAGAAAATATGAGTGTGCTGTGGATCACCCCCCCCCCATGATTTTAGGGTGCCTTTTCTTGTGTAAAGGAGGCAAAACTTCAATGTCTAACAGCCTGGATTGCAACTAAACTGTAAGTTTTCAACTAAACTTACAGTTTAGTTGCCTGGTAGGAAACTGAGAAATACTAACAACTGGTAAATGGATTGTTAAGTATTAACTTAACTATATTGTAGTTCAACTACTAGAGAGCAGGCTGTTTTCATTATGAGAGTTGGTTCATCTCTCTTTAAGCCAGAACATGGAACTTAAGGCATTATAGCTCAGCAGTGGAACACTTGCTTTCCATGTACAATGCCCTGGATTTGATCACCAGCACTACAAGAATGAGTGAATGAATGAATGAATGAATGAATGAATGAATGAATGAATCAGTGAATCAGTGTATCATTTGCCAAGTAGATACAGTATTACATATTACTTTTGTGGTAGCTCTATGATGGCTGTCCAACCCAGCAGCCTCTGACTTGCTTTGTGGTAGAGAAGTATAACCTAGGCATCTCAGTTAAACGTAAATCAGTGAAGCATTGGCACAGGTATTCTAAGAATCTTAGAGTTGTCGTCTACTAAAATTTAATGAAATACTTGTTTAGGAATTATCAAGAGGGTATTCTGCTCACCAGGGAATTCTACCCGATTTTAATATTAAAGAATATGCAGTTAAACTGAAATTATTCTGTTTTTACCAGCAGTAAAAGATGGGTTAAAAGGACAAGAGAGAACAACAACATGGATAGCACATGTGCATTCATATTTCTTGGAGAACTTTAAAACTGAACATTTTTATTAGAAGCAACAGATTTCAATAACACCATGTCACAAATCAACGTTCTAGTATAAATGACAGAGTAAAAACAGAAGAAAGAAACAAAACAGGAAGATTTAGACTTGATAAGTTGCAAACAGCTTAAGAATAATAAGACAACAGTTTGAGTAAACAAAGTTAACAAGCTGCTAAGGGCCAAGCGCTTAACTGGAAGAATACATTGCAAGACAAAGGTACCAGAAAATAGTGTAAGTAAAAGATACTCAAAGAAGTTCAGAACATGCAAGAGAACATTTTTTCATCGTTTAGGAAATTCTATGAGAGTTGATATCCTGTTTAATTTTTTGTCAAGTTTACAAGAGCCAGAGTTATCTGGTAAGAGGATCCTCAATTGAGAAAATGCTTCCATAAGACTGACCTGTAAGCAACTATGGTACATTTTCTTAATAAGTGGTTGATTGTGAGTCCCAGCCCATTATGGTCATGCCAATCGCTGCAGATACTCCTGAGTTATAGAAGAAAGCAGGCTGAGAAGACCAGTGAGCAGTGATTCTCTGATCCTCCACTGTCCATGTTTTAGTTCCTGCCGTTAGTTCTGCCCTAGTTTCCTTCAGTAATGCACAGTGGTGTAGAAGTATAATAAAACTTCTCCTCCCAACTTGTTTTGTTTTGCTGTTTTGTTTTTATTGTGGCAAACAAGTCTAAAAGTTAGCAAGTAGGTGACTTGTGCAGACTGTTTGTTGGTCATTTTCAATCTTTCTGCATATGTATTTTAGGATTATGTATAGTGGTATAAGTATTAAAGTATCTTTGTATCAGTTTGTTCAAAATTAAATAAACCTCACAAGTAGACTGAATAATTTAGAAGATTCCTACGAAAAGCATTAATATATCATTCAAAAACAAAGTTAGTTAGTAAGACCTAGAGAGGACAGGAGCTCTACAAGGAGAGCAACAGAACCAAAATAGCTGGGCACATGGGTCATTTCTGAGACTTGATACTCCAACAAAGGACCAAGGTCCATTCATGGATATAACCTAGAACCCCTGCTCAGATGCAGCCCATGGCAGCTCAGTATCCAAGTAGGCTCACTAGTAAGGAAACAGGGACTGTCTCTGACATAAACTCAGTAGCTGGGTCTTTGACTAACCCCCTGAGGGAGGAGCAGTCTTACCAGGCCACTAAGGAAGACAGTGCAACCAGTCCTGATGAGACCTAATAAGCTAGGATCAGATGGAAGGGGAGGAGGACCTCCCCTATTATTGGATTTGGAGAGGAACATGGGAGGAGATGAGGGAGGGTGAGGGAGGGGGTTAGAGCTGGGATGCAAAGCGAATAAAATATAATTAATGTAAAAAAATAGAAATTTAATTTAAAAATTAAGACGACTGGGGAAATGGCTCAGTGAGTTAAAAACAACAAAAACAAAGTTTCGCATTTAATAAGAGTATTAATGAATCTATGTAACAAAGCTGGTTGCTCCATAAAAGTACCACATGTTAAAATGCAGGTTAATTAGTAAACACTGTGTTAGCCCAGAAACATAAAAGTGCAGGAATATAGAGAGAGTCAATGAAAATCAAAGCTGGTATTAAAGTTATCTCTTTAAATTCAAGTAGTATAAAATTCCTCATTAAACCAAATGGCCCTTTGAGATCACTTTGTGCTTTCTGTCTTTCAGTTTCACCATAGAATAAGCAAGACATTCATTAAAGTGCATAAAGACAAATACTGGATACACAGTGCAAAATATGCTAAATCTGTGTAAATTTGTATGTGTGTGTTTACATTTCTGTGTGTGTGTATCTGTGTATATGTATGTGGCTCTGTGTGTATGTATATTTTTGACAATGTGTGAGTATGGCTGTGTGTGTATCTGTGTGTACCTTTTTGTCTGGGAGCATCTCTGTGTGTGTGTGTCTGTCCATATTTGTGTCTGTGTATGTATATGTCTGTTTCTGTTTGTGTGATTATATACGTTTGTTAGTGTTTGTGTTCATGTGTGTGTGTGTGTTTGTTTCTCACAGTAATCTTGCAAAATAGGCTTTATGACTTCCAGTCTACAAATAAGGGGACGGGATGACTCAGTGAACCAATTTTAAGTATTTTATGCAAAAGAACATAATTATTATAGTTTCTAAGAGTATAACACTGGTAAAAGGAAGAGTCAGAAAGTACTCTTTTCTCTGCCCTAATTAAAGGAAACAGTTGTGCATGCTTGTAGTAAAGTTTTGCCTCTGAATACATGAGACTTAGACAAATTAGGACAGCCAGTGTTGTTTTTGTTGTTGTTTAGTTAGCTGTCTTTTTCTCTTAAAAATTTCAGGTAATTTAAAACAAAAGAAGGTAGCACAGGTAGTTAAAGCTGTGCGATCAAATGTGTAAATGAGAAGATACCTTTGCCTAATTTAATGGTAATGGAACCATTTGTAAATAGGATAAGGCCAAAAAGAACCCTATATTTATTCTCAGACTTCCAGGCAATAGCAGCAAAGTAATTTGTAACCACAGCCTGATTCCACCCTATTTTGCAGCTTCATCTTATATTAGTAGTACATGGATGTAAATGAAAACAACATGTTTAATTTGTGCTTCTATCTCTGTTTTATTTGTAACATAGAGCCACTGCATAATTTGACTCATCTTTTGACTTTTGTAGTACCACTTTATTAAAAGTGAAAAATACAGAGTATCAGAAAAGCTGGATGTTCTAAGTCTTAAGGGATTTAAGAATTGGAATATATCAAATGTCTACTTATTCCACCACTTGTGTTGTCTTGTACAAAAACAATTGTTGAAATATTGCTGAACCTACTATCCCGGTTTCAGCTCAGCCAGGATCATGGGCTTATCATGGAATTTTTTCTTTTGAAAGGTCTTATAATTAGAAAAAAAAAAAAACTACAAAATTATTTGCTGCTATTTTACTAATATAATAAAAGAGTTCAAAACATTTTTCTTTTGAAATATATTGTATTTTCACATACTTGTGAGGTTTACATGCCATGAAGTAGAGGCATATTTGAGTTTGGAAAATAATAATAGTTATTAAAGCTTTTTAACATGTATTGGAGTGGTGGCTGAGGGTATGCTGGCCATGGAAACTGGCAGAAGTGCTGCACAGGATCCTGTAACCAGTACCTAGAATGAGTAGCCTAAAGGATATATAAAAAGTATAGTCACTGCTACTGCCTAGAAGAGCAATTGCTGGAGAACTTAACAAGTCAGTAAACCTGACCCAGCTCACCTGCAGATGCAAGTATTCTCAGACAAGAACACTACCAAATAAAAGTAATCAGTTGGGATTTGATAAGAACACACAGTGGCAAATTACCCTATTGTTTCTGTTTCAGAACCTTATTAGACATAAGTAAAGTACATAGTTGTCCTTTTCTGCCTGGGATTGCTAAACATTCCTTTCCCCCCCCCCCCCCTCTTAACTGTAGTCTGGCATCTCCCAAATAGTAGAGAGGAACATAAGCCCAAACAAACACAGTTCACTATGAAGGCATACATGAAACAAAGAGAACAGAGAAAGAACAAGAAAATGAAGACTAGAGGACACATCCATCCTGGCAGATAAAAAAATGCAACAACATCAAAATAAGCCACTATGACATCTTAAAATACACCAATGTCAAAAATAGTGGATAATGGGATAGCTGAAACACTAGAAAGATTTCAGGGCACTACTTCTTTTTCATTTGTTTGTTTGTTTATTTATTTATTTATTACAATTTATTCACTTTGTATCCTGTAGTAGCTCCCTCCCTCCTCTCCTCCCAATCCCATCCACCCTCTCTCTCCTCTGCCTATGCCCCTTCCCTAGTCCACTGATAAGGGAGGACCCTTCTATCTGACCCTAGCCTTTCAGCAAGTCTCATCAGAGCTGGCTGCATCTTTCTTCTCTGTGGCCTGGCAAGGCTGCACCCCCCAGGGGGAGGTCATCAAAGAACCATCCACTGAGTTCATGTCAGAGAGAGCCTCAGGATGCTATTTCTAAAAAGAATCAGTGGCCAAGTAGAGAACTTAAGAAAACCAATTCAGGACCTATATAAGAATCTTAAAGTGGAAACGGGTCAGCAATTGGGAAGGAAACCTCAAGAAAAAAGGAGTCAAGCAGAAATGCAAGAAATAAGTGAGCCAATCAAAATATTATGTAGATGATCAACAGGCAAAACCAAGCAAAATAATGAATAGCAAGAATGGAGGACAAAGTTAAGTCAATATGACATTCAGTCCTGTGTAAAATAAAATAAACAAGAAAAAGAGAAGAAAGGAACATTACCCTGACTTTCAAGAATCCTGCCATTGTTCAGAGGACCAAACCTAAGAATCCCCAGGGTACAAGAAAGAAAGAACTGAAATAAAAATTTGAAAGCATATGTAGTCTTTGAATTATGGCAAGAGATAACCAATGCTAGATAAATGCCCATCTATTTTAAAACTCCCAGGAGGCATTATCAGAGAAATCCCCATGGTGTGCCATAGCCATGAAGCCAAAAGAACAAAATAGAATTGAAACAAAAACTGAAGAGTTAGGAAAGAATGTTTTGTATTCATCAAAGGAAAAATCTACCAAGAGGATACTACAGTTTACAATTCTAAACATTTATATACCAAACCAAGGGTACCTAAGTTCCTAAAAGAAACAGTAGATAGTTAAAATAACATAGAGGTAAAATCATATATGAACCCTAACACAGCAATAATGGATAACTTCAAAATCCCACATTCACTAATAGGAAGATCAGCCAGGACCCCCCCCCTTCCCCCCCCCCAAAAAAAAAAAAAGTAGGTAAGTGGATGAAGCTAGAAACAATTATTCCAAATTTTGGGTGAATACCTAGAGCCCAAAAGACAAATATAGCATGTTTTCTCATATGTGGATGTACCAACTAATTGGTATTTGGGGGGGGGGGTGGTTTCCAATAACCACAGAGTTTATGTTCCTAGTAAGGATCCAGGGGGAAGGAGAGGATCTCAAGGTATGAGATTATATGCTCTAAAGAGATAACAGAGGAAATAGAATTAGAGAGGTAAGTATGGAGGGCAGGTTAAGGGAGGAAATATAGGGAGAAGGCCTTTTAAAAAGCTATATGTAAACCTACTGTAGAAATATCTATATGTAAGTATAGAAAGAGAGAGCAAGAGACAGTACTCTAACTATAAATATCTTAAAACCTCCAGTGCTATGAATTGCTTACATCTTGCCGAGTCATTGGCGGAGACCCATACACACACATACACACAAACACAAACATAAAACATCGCAGGTATATTCAAGGCTAATGCTTTTTTTCTACAACCTAATGGTAAGACCCTATTGTTGAAGATGAAGAAATTGAGCTGGTGCCTAACTAGAAGCTTCATGATAGTCTTCATGATACTGGAAGGTACTCTGCACACTATCAGAGGAAAAAATAATCATAAATATCATCCAGCTGCAAACCCTGTGATTTAGAACAGCAATCTGCCTGCAAGATATTATGGTATAATAATGGCACAAATGTTAGAGGAGTAACTGACCACTTTTAATTGGATTTAAGGCCTGTTCCATGAGATGGAACACATATCTGACACTGCTAAAGTGGCCAAAACTTGAGACTAGATAGGTCATAGGCCCAGGGGAAAAGCTGCTACTATTATTCTACTAAAGGAACATAGTAATGAAATGACTCCTGATGGCATATTGCTATGCCAATCAAGCAGAACATGAATCCTTCTCATCAGAGAAGTTACTTCTTGCAGTATGTAACAGATAACAGAGACTTGCAACTTTAAAATATGCAGAGAATGAGCACCAGTGGAGTACTCAGGCAGAGTGTCTCAACTCTGAAGAAGACATGGTGCTTTTTGTTCTTGTGTAGTCTTCCTAGATTAAAAAAAAAAAAAATCAAGTTTTCAAAGAACATTAACTCTTTTAACTTCTGTTTTTAAATTACTTTTTAAAGTTAACATACAAAATAATGGGTATCTTTATTCTATTTATGAAAATGTCAATATACTTTGTTCTTAAATTTTGCTCCTCCATCCCTGTCTTCCATTTTCTTGTCCCTTTTATCCCCCAAATAACTCCCTTCTGGTTTTATGTGAATTCCATTGTCCTTTCTCCCCCATTTCCTTAAGATATCATCTTTACCTCTCATGGTTTCATTTCAACTTTTATCACCACACACTCATACACACACACGTCACACATAAATAAAATTAAATCTGGATTCTACGAATGAAAGAAAATATGAAATATTTGTCTTTAAGAGTCTGGGTTTCTTTGCTTAACACAATAATGTTCAGTTTCATCCATTCTTCTTCAAATGGCATAATTTTATTTTGTTTATAATTGAATAAATTCCTTTTCATGTGTTTGCCACATTTTCCTTGTTTCCTGTTTGAAATATAGTATAGTTCCGTTTCTTTGCTATTGCTATTTTTACTTTGAAAAAGTAAAGAAATAAACATGGTTGTGTAACTATCTTTGTGGTATGTTGACTTAGTCTTCAGAGATAAACCCAGGAATAATACTCATAAAATCATATGGTAGTTCTGTTTTTAGTTTTATAAGGAGCCTCTGTACTGATTTCCACAGTGGCTGTACCAGTTGAGAGTTCTACTAGATATGTATAAGATTCCTGCTTTTTGTACATCCTCGCTAGCATTTGTTCTTTGTTTGTTTGATACAAGCCATTCTAACTAGACCAAGAATCTCAGACCAGCTTTAATTTGCATTTCCCTGATAGCTCAGAATATTGAACAATTTCTCAAGAATATACTGAGCATTTGCATTTCTTTTGAAAATAGTCTGTTCACTTCAGTCTCATTTACTGATGAGGGGGTGGTTTGATTTTGGTTTTGTTTGTTTTGTTGTTTAAATTTTATAGTTCTTTAGGTATTCTGAATATTTCCATCTGGTATACAGGTCTCAAATGCTTTCTCTCATTTTTGTAGGCTGTCTCTTCTTTCAGGTGATAATTTCTCTTTGTAAGACATGGTACCAACAAGCCCATCTTAATGCTGGATTTGACACATAATCAGCCCTCATTTTTCTTGGTTTTAGGGGGATAAAGATTTTATAGTTCATATTTCAAGTCTTTCCTGTTCAACAGTCTTAACTGTTTTTCAACCTGCATTGATCTTAGTTGAGTAAGAAAATATTTTTCTAACTTCCCTGATTCTATTTTTGCTCTGTTACATTCCTTTATCCCCTCCTACCCCCGCCACACACACGTGGTTAATTGGAACTCTTGAGAAATGTTCAGTACTCCTTTGTTTTTACTACATATCACAATGTCTTATTTTCTTTAGGTTGAATTTGAAGATGGATCCCAGATAGCAATGAAGAGAGAAGACATATACACTTTAGATGAAGAGTTACCCAAGAGAGTAAAGGCTCGTTTTGTAAGTGTTAATGACAAGTGCTACTTAGGGACCTTCAGTAAAGTCCTTATTCTCTATGCCTTCCCAAGCCCAGAAAAAGAAAACTGTGGGCTTTTGGTTCATTTTGAAGAAAGCCAAAGTAACTTTTCCCTTGTTGTAATCTGATGGATACAAGTCATAACTTAGACAGAAACAGGAAAATGCAGTGTTTATATGGTTTACTTTTTACAACTCTCTCTCAGCTGCACCTCCAAAGGAAGGACTTTAAAAGTAAAGGAGAAGAGATAGTGTCAGTATTGCTATCATATCCCAGTGAGATATGAGATATTCAGAAAATCTGCACATGCACTTGAGGATATTTTAATTAAAAACAACAACAAATCAATGAATAGGTTAGCCACCAGAAATAAATATAACTTTTATACTCTAGATGTAATTGTTGTCTCAGAGGCTTACTGCCTCCATCTGCTAATGTAGGCCTAGTCCTGGAAGCTTCTAGCCTCCGTACAATCTACTTGAGCCCTAGAATGCTTTCAGCCTCTCAAACTTAATGCTGAATAAGCACACTTTTTCTAGCTCTTTCTGAGCTCTGGTTCAACTCAGCTGTTCTGGCTCAAAACTCCTCTCCAAGGTGATTGATTCAGTTTGGCTTCTGTCAGTCAGCACTGCTTGGACTTATATTAAATTTGGCAATCTGTTCTAATATTCTGGCTCCTTCTTCTCTGGCTTGTTCTGTCTTTACCTGTGTCTAGCTTGTTCTCTCTGCAACCTGTCTCTGTACAACTGTAAAGCTGCCTCTAAATTCAACTCTACTGCACTGACTCTCAACTGACTCACTTCATTGGAACTGCCAGAACTGAAAGAATTGATTCAGCTCCCTCTCTCTGTGATGCTCTCTTAAGTTGCCTCTCATTCCTGTCTGTTCCGATGAGAGTTGGGCATACTCTATTCTGTCATATCTTTCTCTGCTTAGTCACTTTGTCTGCCACTCAGTTAGACATCACTTTTATACATAGGTGTTTCCTCCTACAAACTAACTTTACCTTCATTGTTTGGGATAAAAGGCATGTATTAAGGACATGTCTGCATTCCAGTGAGATCACACAGACCTACATAGAAGGTCTTTAGATGTGATCAGAGCAGCCATGTTGCTGGATTAAAACTCCTCTACAACTAGATAATAACTATAAGCAAAGACAAAATTAAGTGTACTTGTTGTAGACAAATTCTCCTGAAGTCTGCATAACTTGTCAGTGTTTTAAAATCTTGAAACCTGGAGCTAGAGGATGGCACTACTGTTAAAAGCTCATCCTGCTCTTTCAGAGGACATAGGTTTGGTTTTGTGTACTCATAATCACATAGTAGCTTACAATTATGGATAATTCCAGTTCCAGTGTATCCAACACCCTCTGTTTTACTCTACAGTCATTGTACACATATGAAAGCAGAACACTCATACACATAAAATAAAAACAAATCTTTCTTAAAAGATACTTAAGTCTCTCAAGAAAACCTGAAAATGTTAGAGGTTACTGCCCCTCACTATGTATCCATATCTCCCCTGAGCCCCCTTCTACTCGCTTCACTTTGTTTTGCTGTTCTCTAACTTTTATTAGCCCCTAAATATTAGGGAAATAGAGTAGGAAGCCTTTTGAAAGTCTCTTGATTTTTTGATGTATGTAGCTGCTGTGCACACTGCCAAATTGATTCTTAGAGATTTCATATTTATGTTTCTTAAGAGTTCTCTTTCTTCTCTAAACACACAGACTCTTTATTCCATAGAAACATGGTCTTGATTCCAGGATGCCTTCTTGGGTATTTTTATTTGAACAAAGTTTGTGTCATTTTGTGCTGTGTGTTAATTATCAGAGAATACTTCCCTCAACCCAAGGTTTGTTTTGTTTGTTTGTTTGTTTGTTTGTATGTGTGTGTTGTTTTGTTTTGAAACAAATCCATATGTAAGCTAGGCTGGCCTTTAACTCACTATTAGGCTAAGGGTTTCTTTGAATTCATGGTCCTCCTCATGCCCCTTGCCACATGCCTGACTTCTCGGAGACAGCTTTAACTTAAACAGTGAAGTAAAATACATTGAATGAAGTCCATGCCCTGCAGCTGAGCCCAGTAGGAAATAGTCTTGGAACTGCAGTTCTTGCCACCTTTGTTACTGCTACAACCTTCAGTCAGTAAACTGCCTTCAGGTGGGTGTAGCTTGCTGGTAGGTTGTCTCATACTTTTCCATCAGGGGAGACAAATCTAATTGGAAAGCTCATTAATAGACATTTTATGCAGAGATTTTTTTTTCAGTTTGAGGAAGATTGATAAGCAGCACTTACTATTGAAGCTTTATGTTTTTAGTGACTTTGCCTCCCTTGAATTATTCTGGCTTGAGGAGAAATGTTGTTAGAGAGTCAGTGGACTACCTAATGGCTGTGCTGGGTTCTTTTGTATGTTCTTCAGAAACAGCTCCATTACCTTTTATTGTCTCAGAATAACCTTGGCAACCATTGCATAATTAAGTAGCGCTCCTGATAAATTGACTTTATTATTGTGTTTAAGAGGCTGGTTTCTGCTATTTTTGCACAGTGGCAACATTTTTCATAGATGTTTTATTTCCTCCCTTGATAACTTATCACTTATAAAAGTGCAATATAAGCCAGAGGAAGTGCTTTCTAAGAGTTACCGAAACAAAATGTTTTTTTCTGATGACAGAGAGAACCAACCAACTCACAGTTTCTAAGTTTCCTTCCCAAGTAAAATATGGCATTTTCTAGGGAACCCAGGGAGTAGCATGGCACCCGGTATAACTGTCTTATGAGCTGATGGGCAGAAAATATGTGCATCTGCCAACGTGAAGCATTTCAATTTCCAGGCTTCTTTGTGTCTGCTTCCTTGTTTTTTTCTTCTTCACAATGGACCATGTGTTTTCAAAAGACTCCTAAGAGTAGGAGTCTCTCTACTTTGCCACCAACCTGAGATACACAATTTGTTGCTGTCATTAGAAGTCACATACCTTACTTAAACCAGTGGAGAACATATTCTAGATTCAGAATAGTAGGGAATCTGGAATCAAAACTGGTGTTAGTGTCAACTCTAAATTTGGTTTTTACCTGAGAATCTTAGCAATAGCCTGCACTTTTCAGGAATCACTTACTGAACAGTAGCTGAGTTCCATGCCTGTTCCTTAGTGTTGGGACATTCATCATTTGATTTATAGTTTCTAATCTCTTTTACCTTAAGAAACATCTGATGCATTGCCTATTACTGCATTCACATTCAGGGCTCCTAGGAAACTCTAGCTTTCCTATGATAGGAACTCTTCCATGGAAGAAAAACTGCCCCATACAGAAAGCGTAAATCCCTGAAATGAGGTTGATCTACTCAGAGAAAGAAGTAGGATGTGTTAGGTTGTAAAAGTTTGGCCCTAGAAATGTGCAGACCATCTTGAGGGTGGGTAGAACATGAAAAGATTATCAACAGGTACATGTAGCCCTCTGTAATTATTTAATTAGAGTGTTTCTAAAGAGCTTTTTTTTTTTCATAGTGGTTTAATGGGAGATAGATTGGGGCTACTACATTTATTGCAGTGGTTCAAAAAGAGAAGTGGGAGACCCTGCATACAGGATCATGACTATTTCACATATATGGAGGGCTCCTGACAAGGTGGGAATAAGAGGAAATCCACAGTACCATTGAACTTTTGACATCTATACAGTCATCTGTCAGAAGTCAATGGTACTGTGGATTTCCTCTTATTCCCACCCTGTGAGGAGCCCTCCATGTATGTGAAATAGGACTGTATAGATGAGCATGGTATTGGCATTTAGGAATTTAAGAAGGGCAGTGATGGAGGAAGAAGCCTTTGAGTGCCATTTTATACATGATAATTTGGAGAGCATCTGAAGCAGACAATCTGAGGTGCCAATTGGTAAAGGTACATGCAGGTATTTCTCCAAGAGATCTGAGCTGGAGTGAGAAATCCAGTTGCCATCCTTTGAGTAGGTGCAGATATTGAAGCCAAGAATATGTATCAGTAGCACTAAAGTTGAACAGGTAGCTAAGACAGTGAAGTACTGAAACATCAAAAGTGGGAAAACTGGTAGCTAATGAAATAGTTAAGCAACAGAAAACTGCTACAGGACTTAGGAACTAGGGAGTTAACCACACTAGTATCATGGAGAAGAGTGACAGGAACAAAGAAAAATATGATTCAGAATGAGTTAAGAATGACTTTTGACCCTACTTCCACCCCCCTTGTTTGGGCAGAAGCCAAGTGTAGACGGAGACTAAGAAAGTGTTGTAAAAACCTGCAGCTCCCATTCTAAAGTAAGTAACAGACAGATTTATCTGGAACCAACTGGCATGACCAGGACTTAGGAAGATGGAGTTAGGAAAACCAAAATTACATGTTTAAACATGGAAGCAGATTCATGAGGTTCAAAAAAGTCATAAGCAAGTTTAAAATATATTAGTGGGCATATGAGAGGTAGCTATAGTGAGATTGGGGAAGCTTTGCTAAAGGCCCAAGATGTTATTTGATGACATTGTTAGTTTTGGGGTTGGTGGGAGCAGTAATCCAATAAGGTAATAGATTCCAAAAAGTTTTTATCTGTGAGTAACAAGATGTTACTTCTAACACAGAAGTGGGCAAGACATAGAGGCTGTTCTGAGGGGCTAGAGCTAGTGATTAGCCTTTAAGTCTATAGCTTCCCCCCCCTTTTTTTTGACAGGGTTTCTCTGTATAGACAAGGCTGGCCTTGAATTCACAGATATACTTGCCTCTGGCTCCCCAGGGCTGGAATTAAAGTCATGTACCAACAAGCCCAATTTAGGGCTGCAGCATTTTAATCTTTCCACAGTACTTACTCACATTCTAATTAGTCAGTCAATCTCTACAGACATAGCTTCTTTTAGGAGTTTTTATTTACATCAGACTCAAAATGAGAAGACTTTAATTTTGCTTTTGTTTGGAAAAGCTCCCTGAGGGTAAAGAAATTAGGACTAAATGTAGCCACACATCCCTG